TTATTGCAATTATTTTTTTTATTTCATGAATGCAAATTGGAACTTCGAACTTCGAATTCAAAATGTATTTGAATATGTGTAACATTTGACAGTTGGCTGCTGTGTGTATCACATAGAAGCCGACAGTATTTGTTTACATTCAAAAATGTGCTTCATAATCATCGTGCATTGCATCACAGTCGTTTCATACAATCGGAGTTTTGTGTTTGTTTCTGTTTTTATATTTAAATAACGGAACATTCACAAACCAACAAACAAAAAAATTTTTTTTTTGCTGTGATATACTTTTTGGCGCGTGAGAGAACTGATTTTTGACCGCGGATGATGTCTTACATATTGCAACGCATCAGGTATAGCTGTGATTTCAAGCTAGAAGGTTGTTCCGTATTTTGGTGCTTTCTAAACAATCGAGACCATTTCTAAACAATTGTTGCTGTTTTGCAATTTCATCATCAACTGTATTACGCGTTGCACACCAATTTGCATTTGAAGAGTGAGTTTTACCGTAACTTTTTTATCGTAAGTGAGCAATCAATTTTTCGTTCGTTCATAGATCGATCCATCACCATGGTCAGGCAAAAGCGGCACAACAAAAATTTCGGCGTGCCAAGGAAAGTGGAAATGAGAAAGCACTCCATTGCCAAAAAGTAACATGTTACAGTGAAAGATTCAACAGAGCAAATGGAGGAAAAGGATAAAATTGAAATTAGCGTGATCAATTTGGCATTAAATTCGATAGTTGTACCGGAATATAATGACATGCCAATCAAAATAGTTTTCGCAAAATGTTTAAACGCTACGAAAATCATGACTCTCGCATCGCTGTTGATGTTATTCAAAGTTAACGAAGCAGTTGATGATGACAACTTGAACTTTTTCGTAGGTGAAAGTGGAAACGGCAAAGAAAATGGAAGAGAAGTCATTCGCGACTGTTTCAACTCTGTGACGTTGGATAACATCAATGATCCGAACACAGCACAAATGCCAGCCGCATTTTACGCGATGATGCGACAATGGAGTCCGAAATTCGATTGGCCAGTACATAGTCAGAAGACTCGCGCAGTTGACGCTGTCATCGATCAATGTGAAGACTTATTCGGAAAGGGGCTGTTGGTCAAAATTGATGGGCCCACTCTGTACACGACGTTTCTCGAAGGCAACCAAAAGCGATCGATATAAAATGTGCATAGATTGCCCAGGAAAGGTAGGTCTTCCATAAACATACCACCGATGATCATCACTTGTCGCAGCAAACGACGCAAGCAACGGGATCGAAAGCACCTCGCAAAAAAGAGCATCGTCAAGAAAAAACCACCGAGAGGCCAAAAACATCGAATGGATCGCCAAATTGCCCATGCATCTCCAACAAAAAGATGTGAACGACGGCGTAAGCTATGCCAAGACCAGCTCATGACAGGCAAGCGTCGAATTGCTCGCCATGGAGGACGGCCAAAGCGCAAAGTGAAACCCGGGCTGCCACCTGTTCTACATATGGGTGCACTAGTCATTCGCCGAATAAAAACCAAAGTGACACCACAATTACTACCGATCTATCGACAAATTGGCAACACAACAATTCGAAAAGTACCAATCGTACGCCGCCATCGAAAAGCACGCCGTCGAGGTGCATGCCGAAAAAACGATCAAGCCGCACGACCACCACCAATTGATACAGGATTAGGGGAATGAGGGTCAAAGATGATTATCTTCCACAAAAAATGGCACCTAAACCTTGATACTGATGATCAACTGGTACCTGAACCTGTACCTGTATCTGTACGCACAATTGTTTGGCATCGTGACATTGTGGCCGCAAAGTACATCATGTTCAAAGGTAAGTACAAAATATATTCATAATTTGTTGTTGTATCACAATTTCAGTTTCATTTGCAATTCGTTTGTTACAGGCCTTTGCGAAATACTCGGATTGCCAATACCCGAAACGTTTATATTAAATCCAGACCGTAAAAGGCCGGATATCCATCGAAAACAGACAAAACCATCATTGCACGATAACATGATCATCATTATAAATACATAAAACTAACAAACATTTTCAAAGCTTTGATTCTGTGGCTTTGTACAATTTAAATTGTGTGTGGAAATACACGATGTAAAACGGGGACAGGCAAATTGATTTATCTGTTTCCCTGTAGGTAAGTTTTATTTCTGTCGCGAGATATATTGTTGACGCATACACACAGTTCTTTCTACTGCCGCACGGCAACTTGTGACTTTTCCCGTCTACACTCACTTCGATCGTGTGATACGGTGCCGTGCGGCAATATCTTCCATATATAGTGGACCGATATAGTATAGATATCGACACTATTTGGTGCTATTTCTATATATTATGGACACAATGAAATTATGTGACGCCTTCCAATATACAGTCGGTGCACCAAATGTTAACGATAATATTAGGGAGTTTATGGATAGCTGGGTAATTAATAAAGGCTATCCAGTTCTGAATGTGAAGATTTCCTCTGAAGAAAACAAAACACAGATTAAAGCAAAAAAGATTTTTACGAAATAAGATACGGAGATAAGACACTTTGGTCTATTCCAATTACTTATGCATCGAATTATCATAACAATGATTTTTAAAATACAAAACCGATTATATATTTAGAAAAAGAACAACTGACTCACCAGGTCGAAAGTCCAATTGAATGGATTGTGTTTAATGTACAGCAGACAGGTGAGTTCACTCACCACGATGGCAAAATTCTGTGAGGGGTTCCTGGAAAAATCCATGGGGGGTCCCTGACGATGTCAACAATTTGTACGAAATGAGGATAAAATCGTTTTTGTTTTTTTGGAAGTCACTTTTTTGGCGAAAATCCCTAGCAAATCAAAAGAATTTTCCTACTTCAAATTGCCTCGCAAATCCAACAATGACAAGAAACTCGTTTTTTTTTTTGGAAGTCGATTTTTGAGGCGAAAATCCCTAGCAAATCGGAAGAATTTTCTCGGCCAAAAAAGTGAAGAGCATAGAAAAAAGGTCCACATTTCCAAAATTGTTGAGGGTTCCTAAAAATATTTTAGGGGGGTCATCCGACCCATAGAAACCCTCGTCATCACTTATGTCAATCACATTCATTGTCTTGTTATAAGTACAAAAATTGTTATCACTTAATTCATAACAAAATGACGGAAATCGTCACCAATGCTCTTCAATACTGAATATTTCATATACATAGTGTTGCAACAACTTTTGTGATTATGTTTAGATATTTAAATATGCTTATTAACATAGCACAATCTGATAAAATGCAGTAAATACAACCTGGCGGACGTATATATTTTTTTTGACGCACACATAACATTATATATGCTATTTTATCCTGGTTATTATCGTGTGAATTATGATGACGCCACATGGGCTGCATTGGGCAAGGCCTTGTATAATTCACATACAAAAATCCATGTACATAATAGAGCTCAGGTAATGAACAATTTCTGCTTCGATATTTTTTAGAATAAATCAAAATAGAATCTGAATTGCCCACCTTATCGCTTGCCCTATATGTTGTATATACGAATTAAAGATCGTCGATGGTGCATTGAGTAAAACATGCATTGTAAAACAATAGAATTTGGTTAGAAACTATCGCCAGCTGATAATACGATTTTAGACTCATCGCTATGTCGATTCGGCGATGGATTTCAAGTCAGACTCAAACTTTTCGCCATGCTTTGTAGTACAAAGTTTGAACAATTTAACGCATATTTCGTATAATTTGACTGCCTAACTTATACAATTTCTCTGCTTATTTTGTACAATTTTACTACCTATTTTGTCAATTTTACTGCTCAAATTGTACTTTACACTTTGTTAATTCTACTGCCCATTTTGTTAAATTTACTACCCAGTTTGTATTTAACCTAGAATCCCTGTGGATCTGGTGCCAGTCGTTTATTGTTCAGTAATAAGCGAAGGATCGCACAAAGAATGGGATTATTTATGGAAAAAGTATAAAACTGAGAATGTGGCGGCTGAACAAGTAACTATTTTGAGTGCATTGGGCTGCACAAAACAACCACAAGCATTATCACAATGTGAAATGTGTGTTAATCATTGTTTTCAGCAATACCTCGAAAAAATTCTAAGTGATGATATTCGATTGCAAGATAAATATTCAGCATTCATATCTATCCTACAGCAACAGGAAAATCTCAATTTTGTACTTGATTTTATTGTTAACAATTAGGAAAAAATTCAAAAAGCGTAAGTGTATAATAACATTTATAACATTTCATTGATTTATTCATATTTTTCTTTCTTTTATAGTTTTGAATCTAATAGAAATGTGCCACTAATTTTATCGCAAGTGGCCATACGATTAACTACCAAAGAGCAAATTGGCAAAATGGAAAGTTTTGTAAATGAACATAAATAAGATTATAGCAACCTTAAAATAGCTTTGCAGAATTTAAATGTTAACTTAAAATGGTCTGAAGAACATATTCCAACTATTAAAAAATATTTGGAAAAGAATGATGAAGTGAAAGAAACGAACAACGCAACTTCAAATACGAATAGAATTTCATTCTTCATTCTTGCTTTTGCGTTGGTTTCATTTTTTAACTATTAGAAATTATGAAAAGTACAGAACAAAATAACCCAATATTTTCGTTTCGACTATTGTCAATTTTATCTGTTGAGAACTGGGTTGGCACGTAAAATACGCGACGTACATGTAAATTTTACCGTAATGTACGAAAGTAAATTACGTGGCCGAATTTTCACGTAAATTACGTCGATTTCGTGAATTACTATTTTCATAAGAAAAATCAAATTGAGGCTTCAAAATGAAAAGATTGCAAAGTTTTTTCTTCAAAATTCTCGTTTTCTGCAGCTTCATTCAAATAAAGATTCAATTTCTTATTCTTCTTTAATGCCAATGTCAAATTCAAAAGACATATATAGAGCATAATAAAATTTATCTAATTTTCAATAAAAACATTTTGGAAAATTTCCAGATAATTCGAGCTTTTTACGTTTTGACGTAAATTAATACGTGGCCAAGCTCAAAAACGTGTAAATTTGACAACCCAGGTTGAGAATTTAATTTGCAGTTTTCCCAAAATAAATGCATGGCCAACGAATCGGGCAATGGTATGCCAAAAAGACGACACATTCCTATAAAATCAGAAACAAACACAAAACATTAATCAATTAATATGAACACTGAACACCAAACGCTCTGCTCTCTATTCTCAATTTAATATTAATACAATATACAATTATGCCAAGGGGCAAGCTACTTCACTTTCGTAATTCTTATAATTCAATCTAGTACTCCGATAATTCCAAAAAATTCTATATAATTCCATACAATGTCGCATAATTCCAAACAATTTTTGAAGTATTTAAAATAGTTGTTTATTTACACAGAATTTTTGTATGAATAATATTATTTCAACGATAATATTTTTTGATATTTTTTTAATTTTCATAAATATATTTTTATGCAAGTATATACAACCGAAACCAAACTATTTTATTGGCTTCATTTACTGAACGAATCGTTTCGAAAATTGTTTGCACTGCGATGTGTTGTACAATTTGCATAGCAGCGACGTTGTATACTCATACATTCAAAACATCGCTCTTCGCGTACACACATTGTCGTACAAATCATTTTCGGAACGTTCCCTTCGTTTCGTTCACATACAAATGAAACCAATTCAAAATAACTCTCCGAAATCTGTTTGTATGAGAAATGTCAAACCGGTATCATTGATGTGATATACAATTATGAAAATATATTTATGAAAATATAAAAAATATCGAAAAATATTATCGTTGAAATAATAATATTCATTTAAAAATTCTGTGTAAATAAACAACTATTTAAAATACTTCAAAAACTGTTTGGAATTATGTGGCATTGTATGGAATTATATAGAATTTTTTGGAATTATCGGAGTACTAGATTGAATTATGAGAATTACGAAAGTGAAGTAGTTTGCCCCTAGAATTATGCACATACCTTTGAATAAAATATTCTTTGCGGCAACAATGTCACGGTGCCAAATGACTACGTGCTCAATCATGTCTTCTGGTGCAGCATCACCCAATTCATGGTATTCTCGAGTTAATGACCAAGTTTTGAAGATAACTTTTATCTTTGGCACTAAACGCTCGATGTTCTCACGATCTGGATTGATTGCTCTCTCTACAATTCGCTCTTTCTTAAGCTCTTGTCTGCTCAAATTCGTCACAATTATTGGTGGTATATTCGGTTTTGGTATGCAATTTCGACAAATTTTGAATCGATGATTTTTGGTTTCTCTTGGAAATCGCTCGTGACAATTGGCACACGTTATTGATGTACCCCATTCATCTTGAAAACTGACCTTTGTGTGCTCTTGTTTCTTGAAGCTGGTCGCCAATTTACGCGTTCCTGGGCATCTTTTCCGCTTCTTTATGCCCCATGGCCGATTTGGTGCCATTTCTCCAGCACCAATCCAAATCCAAGACGGTTTGTTGTTCGTTACCCGCATGGCAACTTTATCACTTGTTTTGGTAGCCTTGATGTGGTGATCGAGATCCAATCGTGCATATTTTCGAGTCGCATATGCTTGCATTCCCATTCGTAGCATTTTGATGCGATGCAGAATGTACGCTTTCCATGTGGATCCACGCGGCGATGGTATCACTGGGTACGACTTGAAATCCATTTGTTCTTCTTCAACAAACCACC